TGTAACCAGGGGAGTCAACTGCACATCATGAAAGAGTATGAACTGAAAATTGCTTAGAGGGCCCAGTTAGAGAAGGGAAAATATGAACCTGTTTTCCTTTCCTAAACAAAAATGTTAATCGCCTTCAGAAGTGTGGATCCACCACCAGTTGTCTTCTAGCCCTTTTCATAACATTCTTTCAAATTGGAACAGCAAATAAAGCAGCATTTTATCCTGTGTTTGGGACAGCCTTGCAAAGGGCAGAACTGTCACCACAAGATGCTGAGGAGGGAAGGACATCAGCAGGTTGTGGTCACTGATGTGCCCAGAGATGCTCAGAACCAGGACATGGTCACTGCTGGGGCAGTAGCCACTGACTGGACTTAGTGATGATTTCCTGAGTAGCACTTGGTATATTTTGTTATTTTCAAGTACATCTGATAAATTGCACATAAAATCACAGGCTTGTGAGTCAGAGACTCACTCCAAATGAGCAGTAGTGCTCTTGTATTTGTGGCATTGTCTTTGGAGGTGTGACTTTGTAACCTTGCAGTGCCACGGAGCCATTTTAGCAGCAGGATTTGAAGGTGATCATCCAAGAGCTCAGGCATGAGGGAGCACTGGGGGTGTGTGCAGTGCAGGTGGGACTCAACTGCCCCTTCTAAGGCACTGGGGAAGGATGTTCATCCAGCTGTGCTGGGTAAATGCTGCTGCTCTGTGGGACATTTGTTTCCTGATAGGTTCTCCACTGATCCTACACTTCCTTGATCATTGTTGCTGTCTTAACTGTGCTTTTCCTTCACAGAGGTTGATCTAACTTTGTAGTTGATTTTAGTGTCTGTTGGAGAAAAAAAGGATGGGGAGATGGTTTCCCAAGTGCTAATAAGCCTTAAATTTAATTTTAAAAAGCTATTTTCTGGCCATTTAATATTTTGCAATATCTGCAAGAGGTCAAAGCACTTAATACCTCCATATTGTTAGGGATACTCTCTTCATTTTCCAGCTTCAATTGTAAATAGCAACTTATTCATAATAAAAAGAAGAGCCAGTTAACATCCAATATATGTCTTAAATTTGCTTTCTGAAGCATGTAAATTGTTTAAATGTAACTATTTGTAGGAAATTAAAAAACAGATGTCAAGCAATGTACTATCAAAGTGTACTTTGTAATTTAGTGCCCCAAAAAATATGTTCTATCTTTAGATGTAATTTCTTGATCAAGTCCAGTCTATCTGAAATGACAATATCAATTTCCCCCTTGTAATTCATGAGTTGGTTTTGAAAGAATGCTCACTTGTGTGGTCAGCACAACATTAAAAGAACAAAACAAAAACTGGGCATTCTGGTAGTGTCCAGCTGGCAGGCTGGATAATTGGCCTGTAAATAAGTTGTATTAATCTCTGAGAAGTGATTTGCAGCTATAGCAAATTACCTTTGTGCTCAGGAGAGGAGCAGATTTCATTAGAGCTGGATCACATAAAAGCCAGCTTTGGAATTGCATTTGGAAATCCGAATAAAGAGGGAATAATTTTTGTGGCCATCTTACTGCCCTTCATTGGTGTAAACCAACTGTGTTGTCATTTGGAAAGCAACTGTGCCTCCTTCTATTTTCCCCTGCTTTTCCAAGTTACATTTTTCAAGGCAAAGTTCTCATCCTTTTTGTGAAGTTCTGCAGACCTCATTATGGAATTGAGGAGTATCTTCTGTAGATAAGTTCATTTTAATTAACACTAAACAGTAGACATTGCTTGTCCATTTATATCCACAGTAAAATTTTATTTGCGTGTTCATGCTTTTCCTTATTTTAGAATATTTTTCTACAATATCTTTTAAAAGATGAGGAAAGAAGCCCAAACCCAGTCCTAGGAAATGTAATTTCAAATCTATTTGTGGGGTTTCCTGTGTATCACTGTTAGTGATGTAGTTGCACAGTTTGACAACAGAGGGAAGAATTGCAGAGCAGCAATAGCCAGTTGTTCCTCACTGCTCTTTAGGTAGAGGCAGCTGATTAATTTTATTCTGAGTGTTTTTATTTCCCTTGTACTCTTACTTTGAAAATGCCTGTGTTTTTTTCTTTCAATTTTCCAGTCTTGGAAGTAGATATTGTATTTAAGATACGTATTTGTGTTCCCCAATTAAAAATTGTTATCCCTGCTAAGAGCTTAAAATATATTTGATTTTTTTTTTTCTCTAAACCTTTTCAGATACAAGATTAGGGTTTGAAGGATTTTTTTTGTTGTTAGGTAATGTCTTGTGTTTAATGCTAATCATCAAGAAAAGATGACTTTGTTTTATTAGGGGTTTATCATCTCCTTCAGCCTGCAAGCAGCCAGCTTGAGCTCCTTAAAGAGTTAACTGATGTGTCCTGTGAAATAAATGAAAAAACAGCCCTTCTCATTAAGCTCAGTAATTAAATAGTCAAACTTTTGTGGTGGCATTCCTCTTTCTAGGTAGCTGAGATCAACCCTGTATAAACTTGGTTTAGTCCTTGGTTACTAGGAATGACGGAATCCATTCCTTGTTTTAGTCTGAAGTGTTCTAGAAACATGTCCCTGAAAATGTTGTTTGGGTTCATTTTGCCATGTGAAAGGGATGAGATGCAAAGTCAGATGAGAGCTTTGTTCACACAACACTGACAAGAAATTGTTTCTTAATTTCAAAGTGTGCAGTTACTGCCATTTTATTAATCTGATTATTGTTCAAGGTGGTTTCTTTGATCTGGTAGAGCTCTATTTGGGACTTGTAGCTGATAATGCTTCAAAGTAAAGATGATCTTGGAAACTCAAACTGCTTTTTATAGCCTGGCATTATCCTTGGGGGTTTTTCTGGGAAGGATGTCCCCTTTCATAAGGTTCCTGCCTGCTCAGTTTTCCAGGAGTTGAGGTCCCTGACAACACAACTGTGTGGTGCATCAGCCACTTGTCCCAGTTTTGGATCCTCAGTGAACAAGAGTGTTTTACTCTGTCAGATAAATTTAATCTTATGGTGTAGTAATAATAGAACATGTGCTATAAAGGTATGTCTTGCAGGGATCACTGTTTTCTCATTTTTTTACCTTGGCCCCTTTTGGAGCCAGGGAATACAGATTGATTTACCTTAGCCCCTGCACTGAACCACGACAGTCCTAGGGCTAAATTGTAGGGATTCCTACTTTTTAAAGCTAGTCTATATTAAGTTCAGGTTTTGTTAGACTGTTGCCTCACAAGTACATGATATAAACCCCTGCCTTTGATTTAATATTTATCATTAATTAGGGAGGTGACTTGCTCCTCTATTTACAGATTTCATCAGTGCAAGCTGCTCGTTAGCTTATCATTCACTTAATATTCCTAATGTCAGTGATAAGCTAATGTTCAGATCACAGATGTATTGCATTGCTTCCATATGGTGCTTTGTCTAATGAATTAATTAACTATTTTGGAAAAAAAAAATCCTTGTGGAGATTTTGGTGAAAAGTCACCCTAGAAATGGTGGGAGGGTTTTCCATTGGTGTTTGTGCATATTTTAGTTAAAAACTTTGCAGTCATTTTGCTAGGTTCTCATTTTAATTTTCTTTGCACTTGAGAAAAGTTTGCTTTAAAGTTGGTATGTGGCAGTTTTGAAGAGTTGTTTGGGTCAAATGGCCATATTTAGTCTGCATCTCTGTTCCAGTAGCTGTATGTTTGCCACTTTTGGTGTGCAGTCTTTTAGCTACTTTGAGAAGCTGGTTGGTTTTTCCAAATCGTTAACAATTAGTTTAATAGTGCAGTATCTGTTTCAAATGCTTGCACAGTAAACATTTGCACATGCAAATAGAGTAGGTATGAATGTTTGGGCATTTGGCACTGTAGATATGTGGAATCACACAAACTTCAGTACTTCCTTTGGAAGGACAAAAATAGACGATCTAAAATCAGACCTAGTATTGCAGCCAGTGTTCACACATTGAGTGTCAGTAGCCTGTGAATTTTGGCTTGCTCAATATAATGTTAAAATAATTTTTTGACAAAGAAACTTTTTTACTACTTGCATTATTATTTGACACAGAAAATGTCTCTGTGCTTTTCTATTAAAAAAAAAGTCTTTGTCTATGATGAAGCGTGAATGTTTGAAACTTGAAAGTAACGTTAAAGATGAAAATGTAAGATGCTTTTGCATTAATTCCTGAGGATTATATATGTACAGCCTGCTTCATTCTGACAGAGTATCAATTATAAATCAAGTATATCAGACTTTATGGTCCCTCTACCCCACAATGGCTGTGGGAAGCTGCTGACCCTGGTGGTGTGCAGGGCTTGCTGTGTCACCCTTACATCTAAGAGCAGCTCTAAAAGGGACCCCAGTGGCACAACACTTAATATTAAATATGAAACTCTCTAATTAACCATTCACACAGAAACTGTTCATCCACGTGTAAATAGCAACAACAAAAGTAACTTGGAGTAGATGTTGTGTTTGGCTTAAACAGATTAAAAGATTTCATCTTATGTTTAGAATATATTAAAAATAATTGTGGACCTGCACTTGACCTGCCTGAACAAAAGAAATATTTTGGGTAATGTTTACTGCCAAGGTAACGTTTGAAGTCAAATAATGCAGACTTATAACATGTTTCATGTTGCATGTGTGAGGTGTTATCAGTACCAAACATGTCTCACACTATCAGTACCAGGCATCCTTTGTGCCAGTCCATGGAAGGTGCCAGGGTGAGAGCAGCAGCGCCATTTCCCTGAGGAGCTGTTCCTTTAACAGCTCTGTCCTTCTCACCTGAGCCCGAGCAGGCACAGAACTGTAACGGGATTATGATCATGTGAGGGAAAAGAGACAGGGCTGGAGGGAAGGGAGAGGCAGTGGTGAAAGCATATCCTGCCCCAGCTGTCACTCACGGCCGCCTTAAAAAATCCAAATCCCCAGGGATTGTGGCTGTGCGTTGATATTTAGGAAAGCAAGATTGTTCTGAGTCACAACTTGCTTACACTGCTGTGTGTGGTGCTGCTGGGCTGCCATGCTGCTGCTTTACACCTTTCTGGTTTCTTCCTTAGAATCCATCTACCGCCGGGGAGCTCGAAGATGGAGGAAGCTGTACCGTGTGAATGGGCATTTGTTTCAAGCAAAACGTTTTAACAGAGTGAGTACTGTTGCATGAAACGTTGGGGTTTGCTCATGTTCTGTGCTCATTGTTTGCCTCAGTCTGTGCTTTTTTCTGTGTTGGAGTGTTGGAAAGAAAGGAAAAGCTTGATGCTTGTTGATGTGACATTTCGGTCTCTGTGATGTTATTCAAGTCATAATGAGCAGGAAAAACTTGGCAGTGTTTGAATTTGAGTTACTACAGGATTGGTGGAAATTATTTATTTTTAAAGTCTCTAAAATACTGGGTTTGTGACTATTTAAGCTGATACATCCTTGGAGCAGCTTCTCCTGTCTTTACTTGTTCTGTGATTTTGGTTGCTTGTTAGTAAAATCTTTTACCTTCAGAACACTTTGCCATCTGTAAAAGTTCCAGCTGCTGATGAGAGCTTTAACTGTTTAGAGTCTGAGGTACTACACAATCAAAGAATTTTAAAAAGATTTTTTTATTGAGCTAAAATATGTCTGTGTTTTGAGAGCCTGATTTAATCTACATAAGTGAATGTGGCTTTAAGGCTGAGACATCTCCTTCACTTATCCCATTATGCCTAAGTATTGCAGCATATATACAAATGTACTTGGGGGATTTCCTCACAAAACTGAGTGCACTCAAAAGAGTTAATTCTTTCATTCAGTAGGGACATTTTTTCTAAACATTGAAATAAGAGGTTTTTTCTAAAATATCCTATCCCAAAAATGCACTGAAAGAAGGAAAAGCCCCTTAAAACTCAGCATTTTATCACTAAATATATTAAAAATATCATATATATGAATTATCACATGAATTTGTATAATGTGCTACAGGAATTCAATTTTTTAATTCATAGTATTAAAGTATACTTATGTTTATTTGCTACATAATAACAATATATTTCCGTTGAAACACTTGTGAATGCATACAGTCATTTAATAATCCATAATGTTATAGATAATGATGCTTTAATTGCAACAAGGTAAATAGTGAATATACACAGAGAGATTTTGATACCTCATTAGGATGTCACAATCCTAAACAAGACTGCTTTTATGCCTGCATACAAATGACATCATAAAGAGCCAGGACACAAATCACATCCAATTGAAGTTAGTAAGCAGGTTGACATAAACTGTAAACTATGACATTAAGATTGATAAATTAATGAGAAATTACGGTCATGTCTTTATTACTGAATTTAATACCAAATTTTAGTGTTGGTGGAATTTTTAAAACTGGAGTATTGCCTTAAGAATTCATTCTTGTTTCAGAGTAACCTTTTGCAACTTTTTCAGGTCATTCAGATGAATGAACACATGCAAAAATTTAAACTTTAATATTGTTGAACATAACATAAAGGTCAGCTCTCTGATATGGCTTTGACTGCATGTGTTTTGGAGAGGTATGAAAGGGTTACCTGAATTTCTGATGGAATTTGGGATCTGCCTCTACTTCCAGGTCCTGACAGATTTTATTTAGTCTTAATACTACTGCTGCAAAACCTATAAAAGGATACTGAAGGAAGTCTGGTGGGCCAGGAATTTTGGAAGAGGTGGCAGTAGATATCCCAGGCTTCCTCTCATCTGGCAGTTTTTGGGTTGTTTTTCTTTTTCTGGGCGGTGCAGTTTAGGTTTCTCTGATTGAGGAGGACTGGTTGCACAGATGAGGGAGATGGAATTAAGTCCTGTTTTCTACAACTACCAAAATACAGCAAGAGGAATATTATTTTTTTAACTATTCTAGCACTACTAGTAGGGATTTTCAGGAGCTGAAGAGTTTTGGGCAGGAGTGTGTGTGAGTCACTGGTGTGAGCATCTGAATGACCGCAGTGTAATGGGCAGTGCCTGGGAGGAACAGACTGGCATTGTGGCTTTGGGAGCTCTGTCTGAGCTGGGAGCAGCTGCAGGGTGATGGGCAATACCTCAGCCTGCTACAGGAGTTATTGAAGAGCATTGGCAGCCAGGGAATAATGAGCGAGTTTTATACTGGTAGTGTGAGGTGGGATCACTGGACCTGGGTGACTTTTGTGTGTAAGGATCTCAGATTGTTGTTTGCCAATTTGAGTAGAGTGGATGAAGTGACCGTAGCAACATACACTGGAACAGTGATTTAAAAACATCTCCTGTTAAAGTCGGCAGCAGGATGTCTGGCTTCTTCATTATCCTCATTTTGCTCTTTTGTTGCATATGTTAAAACACCATGGATTTTTGATGCTCAGTGCAACAGAGAGGCTTATTATCAGACATGATTAATGGATTTTAATTATGCAAAGTTTCTACCACTGTTAAAATGTATAGGTGTAGATGTAGAACACTTTTTACACATTGTGTGATAAACTTTTTGTGCCAGTGCTCTCCAACACGGTCTGTTTCGGTGCTTTTTATACATAATTGTGTAGTACCAAATTCTGGCAGTTCTGTTTGGGTAATCTCTGTCAAAACCTGAGATTCTAAGTGGACTTATTCTCTAAAAACTATTTGCTGATGTCACACTAATGTGTTCCACATGCTTGAGGTATTAGTTTTCCTAACATTAATTTAAAAAGAACTGCATTTAGCTGAATTTTGGGTGTGAAATATAACCTTCAGCTATTATTGTAATTCTGGGTATTCTAAAATTATTATGGAACATCTGTTAGTTGACTGGGATGGGCTCTTGCTGCTAGAGAACTGCTCACTTCCAGCAGGGATTGATCCTGGAACTGACAATGTGCATTGTGACTTGCAGAGAGCATACTGTGGCCAGTGCAGTGAAAGGATATGGGGGCTCGCCAGGCAAGGCTACAAGTGTATCAACTGCAAGCTGTTGGTCCATAAACGTTGTCATATCCTTGTCCCACTGACCTGCAAAAGGCATATGGTGAGTATGTATTGTAGCAGGGCTGAGGGGTGCCACTCTGGCCTGTGCTGCTGTTGGTAAATGTGTCCTGAGTAATGAAATGTGAGCATAGCTGTGGATTTGTAACACTTGGGAGTATATTCTGTTTCTGCAGAGGACAAGCCTTTGGATTGTGAGCAGAGAAAAAATGAGAAAGAAAGTTTGTGATGTGACTTCAGTATGTTCAAGCTTGAATTTAACTTCTCCATTAGACCCTGGCAACCTCAGAAGCTATTCCTTTTAGCCTGTGGGAATGTTTTAAGAACTAAGGCACTGATATAATTTCTGCACTGCTCTTTTCAGAAAGGCATATTGCTTTCCTGTTCTTGCCATCTCAGTCTCTCCAGTACTGTTCTCCTCCTCTCCATGACCATCATTCCAGTGCCAATGCTGGTGTCTTTCCTAGGCTTTAAATATCAAAACATTTAAACATCTATGTATCTGAATTTTATCCCTTTCCTGTATTCATCCCCAGTATTTTACTGGTGGTTGTATCATGTTTCTTGTGACTTGGAACTTAAACCAGTATTTTTCTTTGCTGGTATTGTATGTGACTTGCCTTGACATTACCAATTCTTTGCCAATTAATTTCTGCATGCTGCTGTTCTTCCTGGAGTAGTCCTCCTTGTCTTGTAGGCTTGGGGATGAACCCAGCGTCTAAATGCAATACAAAATATCTGTTATTGTGATCTTCACTAATTTATGCATAATAAGCAACAATTCATGTTTTTATTAAGCAGGAAAGGAATATGCCAGTGCTCTAAATGGAGTGTGTAACATCATGCTGAAACGTTTACTTGGTTGTAGTTCCATGCAAAACACTCAGAGGTCTTTAAGTAGAATAAAAGTTTGAACTTTGCTGTAAAATACACCACTCTTACTTTTAGAAGACAGCCAAGCATCTGTTGTAGCTGCAGAGAATAGCTAATCTAGCATTTAGGTTTTGGTAGGCTGGTTTTATCATGCATTACAAAATGTTAATATTTGGCTACAAAGTCTCCAAAATCCAGTTTTCATTATGGAAAATGTGAAGATCTCATGGAGCTGTAGTATAAGGGAGGGCACTCATAGGGGGCTGCACGCCCATTGTGGTTTGTTGGTGTGACCTGTGTGTTTGGCAGGATTCTGTCATGCCTTCCCAGGAACCTCGCTTAGATGACAAAAACGATGAGGCTGATGTCCCTTCTGAAGACACAGATGGAAGTGAGTGCTTTGTTATTTAGAATCCCTCTTGCCCTCATTCTTAACTCTTCCTGTTTACAAAAGTGGAAAAACATGGTCAACTTTCCAGTAATATTTAAAGCAAACCGGCCAAAAACTACTAAATATCTTTCTGTTTATTGATTTTTAAAACTATTTCAATGAAGGCCTTTATAACCACACCACTTTGATTTCTTTTCCAGTTCCCTACATTCCTTCAAACCGGAAACATGACACCATTAAAGATGACTCTGAGGTATGTTCTTAAAATATTTTTCCAATTTGTATTTAGGTACTCCAAATCACAGAATGAACTAGGTTGGAAAACACCTTTGAGATCATCAAGTCCAACCTAATTATTATAGCTGATTATTTGTTCTGGGCTTTCTGCTGCCCTTTGCAAAAGTTTTTTTGTTTTTTTTTTTCTAAAAGTTGATAATTTTTTTTTAAGCTTTTTTATTGGATTTTTTTCAGATTTCTTATCTGTTCAGCTGTTGTCATTCCACTCATGATCCAAGATACCTTTTAACATTTTTGTTTCCTCACTTCCACTTGTTGGAATAACAGTGATTTAGCAGAGGATTTCACGGTCCTTACGACAAATGGTGGCTTTGCCATTGCCTTGACTGCTGTCCCTGATGGATGTTCAACTCTTGTCACCCTCAGACTATTGCTGTGGAACTTGGTTCAGTCTGGTAATCCATTAACTACCCAGTACTCTGAGAGGGTTCATATAAATAATACCTAAGCATTTTTAGACAGCTTCTGTGGAAGCACAAGTAGAATAACATATACTTAAACTCTTTTTTCAGGTCTTTTGTGTAAGATCTGACTCAATCTCTGCACATCAACAATGTTACTCCTCTAGAGCAGTCTGAAAAAACTGAATATGCTTCAATTCTAAAGGGCTTAAAGACATTTCTTTTAAGAAAGCTTCTGGCATATTTAAAATAAATAGGATGCACTCTGCAGAACACTGGCAGTTGCTCTGATGTTCCCCTCTGAGCAATACTGCACCATTTTCCCTTGCCTCCACTACAATGCTTGTCACTACCATTCCTTTCATACTTGAGTAGTTCCTGCTCCTGGGTGACTGCCTTATTTTCAGCCATGTATGATTATCCAAAAATCAGAAGTGGAAGGGTAGAAATTAAAAGCACATCAGAGAATTTTAATCGCTCACTTTAGCTGTGGTCAGTTCTCAGGTTTATGTTGAAATTTGGTAGGTGCTGTTTTTGCTCAGCTGTCCTGAATTATGCTGCTCTGATTGTCCCACCTTGCCTTTGAGCTGTACTGAAATAATTTAAGGTATCCTATAGAAAGGAGTTGGTGTTATGGGAGCTTTGTCTAGAATCTTTAAGCTTAGAGCAATCTCTTCTAATAGCAGTCAATCCTAGATCAAGATTCTTTATATAAACACTTTCCACAGTTCTGCAGAATGCTGATCTGTCTACAAGTACAGTAGTGTGAGGTCAAATAAAAATAGGCCACAGAAGTGTGTCAAAGCCTTGGGTATATTGGTAAAACCTGAAAGTTCAAGTACTTGCTGTATTTGTCTAGTTCAGCTGCTCCATCTTCAGTCCCATGTTTTCACATCTAGTTCCAGCAGACAGTCAAGATGATAAAATTTCTCTTTTTAAAATAATGAATTTAAAAATTACATTCTTCATAGTGGAATATTTCCTGCAATTTCTTAGAGTTGAGAAATTGAGATCTGCTTCTGTGTGTTCCCAGGAACCTGTTAGGAATCTTAATTTTTATCAAAATTATAGTGAGCTGAATACGCATAGTTGTTGCCTAAACTGAAACCAAGGCAGGTATATTCATTAGCAAATTAGTTTCCTTACTCATCTTATTTTTAGATAGCCTTTATTAATTTGTGCTGTATCTGTCAGAATATTGACAATGTTCCTCACTTTGTACAAAGGATACAATGTCCATGGCTTGAGGTTCAGGAATTTGGATAGACCTCATTTTTCAAGAATATGAAAATTATTAGTTGGATGAACTACTTTCTTGAAGAAAACAGTAACTTTTAGTAAAAGCAAACCCAATGGCAACCAAAGATTTGTAAACAAAGATGTTCCAAACAGCCCTGGGTGCCAGTGCCAAGCAAAGTCAGCAAATTCTGCCCAGTGCTTAAAGATCATTCTGCGTTAATAGTTACTTGCTATGGAATTGTCCCCAGTTTCTAGCATCTGTTTCTTTTTACACAGGATCTCAAACCAGTCATTGATGGAATGGATGGAATTAAGATTTCTCAGGGGCTTGGACTCCAGGACTTTGATTTAATTCGAGTTATCGGCCGTGGAAGTTATGCCAAAGTTCTTCTAGTTCGGTTAAAAAAGAATGATCAGGTTTATGCTATGAAAGTAGTGAAAAAAGAACTGGTCCATGATGATGAGGTAAAAGTCTGTGTTAATTGCATTCTGTTACATATTATAAAAACTTACTATGCTTTTAACAGAAACCACTCAACTAAGCAAGGAGCTCATGTTTCAGACAACTTCTCTGGCAGAGAAGTTTTTCTGTCATTTGAACTCATTTGTCATCAACTCTGCATGAAGCACCAGGATGAAATCTGAGATAAATGTCCCTAATTTTAATAACAATTAACAATTACTAATGGTCTTGGTAGAAATCATGTATTAAACCTTTCAACATGGATGTGCTAATCTGTAAGTGATGAGATAAATGGGGTGAATTTGTGAAGTTAATTTTGAAAGAAAGTAAATATGTTTTTCAAGGCAAAAGCATTGTGTGTCAGAAGCGGAGCTGAAACTGTTCTTACACTCATGTTGGCAGAGCCTATGCACAAGTGACTCAGTATTCTGAAATATTTCTTCTGTGAGTTCAAAAATTATGCTACTGCCATTTGAGATCCCTGTGTTTGTCTGCCACAGAAATCTGCTGCATTTCTCGATTATTTTCAAAATCCTTCAGATTTTTTTTAATACAAGATCTCAAAGCACAAATTTTGGGGGAAAATTGAAAATTAAAAAGGGAAGTTTTTTGTTTGTTTTTTTTCATCTTTTTCCTATACTACACTTTTTTGAAAGTAGGATGTTTGGGAAAAAAACATCAAAACACTATTTTAAGTGCTCTTTGTGTTGGTAGTTTCAATCAGTTGCTCTGGCTGTCATCTTTGTGATAATTCCAGACATTCCAGGCTGGGCTTAGTTCTCCTAAAATCCTTTGGCTTTCTCATTTATTTGACGTTTATTTTGTAAACCATTGTTGTGTGGTTTATTTACTGTTTCCTTTTTTAACATGTGTTTTTCCAAGAAGGTGGGAGCCAAAGCCAAGTCCTGTTTAATGAGTTGTGCAGCTGTTTGAGAGCCAGAGGCAGATGTGGAAAGGCTTTCTGGAATGTGGCTCTTGTAACTACGTAGAAGATAGAGCTAATTGGTTTTTCTTTTCCCTAAGATAGGGTGTATAATGAAATTCTGGGAATTGATAGGAAATTGACTGAATTCTGTGAGTGCATGAGATACTGCAAGTAATGGAAATTTCACCTTAGAAGTGTTCCACAAAGAAGGAAAATCAATTACATAGCAAGTATTAGCATGTTGAAATTAGCTGGTGCTTTCCAGGGTATGGGTGATAGTAGAGAGAAGAGAGATAGAGGGAAGGCAAATACCTGGGCTTCTGTTCAGTTTAGCTAAACTTAGTTTTGTAAAATTGAGCACTGGTAAAATCCTAATGCCAGGTACACAAGTGCACTAATGAATTTAAAGACTCTTAAAGAGAAGCTCATTTAGTTAAACCAAGAAGTGGACATATTTAGTGCTTTATTCAAAATTGGATTTTGGCTCTGGATTTTGGTCTAGACTCAGGTTTACCCTTCCAAGGTGATCTTCATGAGGGTCCACACACAAAACCTAAGAGGTTTATTTAATTTGATGATGACAGTTCTTGGTTTCCTCTGAGACTTCAGTGTTGGCATCCATCCCTGACAGGAAGGTCTGATTTCTCAGTCTCTGTATTTATTGTCTCCAGATTGGTTGGGATGATGGGAGTATCTGTGGTAAATGGAGAATTTTTAGAACAAGTACAGTTCTGGTATATTGGCAGGGTCCTGAGTGTTTGCAGGGTGGCACATGATCAGTGCATTGCATGAAGGGTGAATATCTGCTGCTAAACCCAGCTGTGATGTTTAAATTGTGCATGGTTATATGAAGTAAAGCTTAAATGCTTTATCACAGCTCTGAATTTTGCAGCACTGTGCCAGTATCACGCAAACTGTGGTAGGTTTTTATGATGTGGTTTTCCACTGCGTGTTCAAGACTTCTCCCTGTTGAAGGCTTAAAGGTATCTGTGATGCTTTGAAATAATTTTGGCTGGACCAACTAAACAGGTTTTGGTAGTTTTATTGAATTAAATTTGAATTTCAGATGAGGAGATGAAGTTCAGTTCCCTTGAACCTTTTAAAAGCTGGAGATTCACGTTGCTTGTGTTACTGGCATGAGCTGCTTCAACAGCTCATTGGGATCATTTATGTAAGAACTCAAATTATTTCCATGCAGCAGTGTGAGCAGTTTGTCAAATATTGCAGATGTATGTTATTAACAATGACTTATATTTTGTGCAGGGCTTCCTTAAGTGGTTAAATAACTTCTGAATATATAATTGAATTACAGAGTTTTATAATTTACTCCAGATTTTGAGGGGTCTGTTTTTCTGAAGAACAATATAACAATGACAGCGTGTGTAAGGCTGCACTGTAATGTTCACAGGTGTTTTTCTGGGAATACCCACAGTGGTTATCCAGCAGGAGATCTGATTGTTCAATTACTCTGTTTCAGGATATTGATTGGGTACAGACAGAGAAACATGTGTTTGAACAGGCATCCAGTAACCCATTCCTAGTTGGTTTACATTCATGCTTTCAAACAACAAGTCGGTAAGAATGATCTGAACTTTTTTTTTTTTTTCTTTTTTTCTTTTTTTCTTTCCCTGAGAATCTTGATCATTGTGCTGAACTGCTTCTCCTAATGCAAATGTAACCACTGCCATCACAGAGCAAGGAATTTTTGGAAGGAAGCATTAGCATTGTCAGGGATTCACTGCTGCAACAAAGTCATTTCTAGAGGGGTAACTCAGGCAGGAGTCTGGAGAAAAGTCTGGTGTTCTGGGTCAGACCTGAAGGGGGAGGGGGAATGAGGAAGAGGAGGATCCTGAGCACAGCCCTGTGAAATGGGGAACACAGTTTACAGCACCTTCTGCTGAGGAGGCCATATCAGTTCTCAGCAGTTCACTGTTCCTAAAGAGCCTGAGAGTTGGGCTGCCCAGTAATAACCTTTTAATGATACTATAAACCCATACTTGCATAGTGGTACTGTTACCTATGAAGCTTAAAAGCCTTTAGCACATATCAAAGCAGTGTGTGATTTTGAGAAAGTGCTTATTTAACTCTTAACTACTTAGAAATACTAATTCTTTTGTCCCTATGTGCACAATATGACCTGGATTATTTGCTGCTTATTTTGCAATTGGAATATGAAGAAAATAAGAACTTTCATGTCCATGCCAGAGTATGTTACTGGGGAATTGAGGTGTGGTTTGCTGGTGGTTTGGGATATTTTTTGTTTTCACAAGCACTTGTTTGCTGTTACACTTTTATATTGCCTCATGCTATTGTGTCATAATCAGAAAATTGTCTTTCTATCCAACTTACTTGCAGTGCAGAGTGCAAAGTTTTAAAAAGTTTTCATGGATTTTCCAGTCATTTATCCTTAAGAATAATCATCTGTTTGTTGCAATGTGTATTGTCAAGTTTTAAAATACAAAGCTATGCACTGTACATTTCTTCAGTCCCCAAATTTTCACCTCCCTAATGGTTAGAGACAGAGGAAATCTTCCAGCAGAGAAAAAGGGTGAAGGAGGTAAAGGAGCTGTATCAGTGTTCTGAAGGTACATGGACCAAGGAGTGTTTGAAAGCAGGGAGAAAGAAATAAAGAATGATTCCTAAAGGTCACTGTGTCAGGATTTGACCAAAACAGACTTGTCAGAAAGAATAAATAAACCTTTAGACAACTGACAAACTGTTTGGTAAGGCTCTTAAGTTAAACCAACATTCCCAAACACTTTCTCACCAAACACAAAATAGAATTGTACACCAAATATAAAAATTCAAGTTGTCAGGCAGGGTGAGGGATTGAGAATGAAGTTTCTTGTAACTACTGAAACCCAGGAAAAAGCCGAGTCAGCAGTAGGACCTTGTGCATTTGTTTTTGGCAGCTATACTGACAGAGCTGAGGAGCAGAAATAGGAAAGAAACCCCATGCTGAACATAATCAAAGCTTTCTGTATTCCTGATGTATCTTTATGAGTCCTGCTTTTCCAGCTCAGCTGCTTCTTGCAGTGAAACTCTAGTTTTTTGTTGGTAACTTCAGCCAATTGCCATGGATATAACCATAATGTCATGAGTTCACAACTTAATTATAGATATAATTTTATAAAATCATAACTATGACCTCATTTACATCAAGCAGGAAAAGCACAAACCTGATTCAGAGTGAATAAATTCATCAACATCAGATTGCGTTAAGTGGCCCAAGGAAAATGAGTTGTGATAGAACAGGTTGTGACAAGGGTACTAACAGGAAGGTCACAGAAGATGCTCTTCCTCTTGAATATAGTTTTAAATAAGTTTTTAACACAAATGTGTATCTAAATGTGGGGCTAATTGATGCTGTATGTAGCTGTTCATTGTTTCAGATACAGATGATGCTTGTTTCATTATTGTAATAAAATATGTGCCTTGGACTTACCCAGAATTGCCAGATAAGTTTCTTCCAAGGATGGCATCAACCTGAAGCGTCCAGCCTGCAAAACTGGGGATGTTTCACTAAATCCTAAACCCAGCAAGGCCTGCCACTACTGATATACTTGAATGTGACTTGATAAGGAGCTCGAAAATGCAACTTCTGAATGGTGATAAAGCATTGGGGACTTCTAAATAGGATAGGAAAGCTGGCAGCAGAAAACATCAGGAGTGCTTTAATAAAATACTCATGGCATTGTTATGTATTTTTGTTTGTTGCTTATTTAAGTTCAGTTTAGCATTATTCTTCTTGTGGGGAGGCCACTCAGAGTCCTGCCAGCTGGATTTTATCCAACAGATTTTCCTAGTTTAACACTTTATAACTTTTTCAAACAAAGACTCCTTTTCAAGGAACAAAGAAAATCGCCAGCTAGAGTGATCTTGAGAGACTGGAGCACATGTTCTCCAAACTGAATGTTTTCGAGTGTGTGGATGTGTGGAAAGGAGTTTTCAGCTCATGGAAAATGAGGTGTAGAAGGAGATGCTGCTCCCTGGGCCAGCCTAACCTTCCCCAGAAGCTCTCCCTCAGCACATTCCTATTCTGAGCTCTCTCTGACATTGGCAGCATTGCCTGGATCATATTTTCCCAAGGATGAAAGCTTTCCTGCAGGCTGTCATAAAAATTTTTGTCTGCCCAATTCCACCTGGATTTCTGTCCCCTACTGACTTTTCCCTAGTTTAGAGCAGCCTGTTTGAAACATTCATTCTCCAGAGGAACAAATGAGCCCAGAGCTTCCACCTGGTGCCTGTGTTGTGTACAGTGTCACACTTGTTGAATTCATAAATTATAACTTATAATTAATTAATTTATATGGATAAAGGCAGTGGCATTTAAAGAGGATGTTCCTACATAATATACATCAAATAAGTACTCTCTTTTTTCCCTCAAGAGTAGTTTCTGTAACTACAAGAAATCTAGAAGTCTCAATCAAGAGTGGAAGTGAAAATGGCTCAGATGGGAAGAATAAAAACAGCTTTTCTGGAGAGTTTCCTTGGAATGCATGATTTGTGTTCTATAATTTCAGATTGTTCCTTGTCATAGAGTATGTGAATGGGGGAGACCTCATGTTCCATATGCAGCGGCAGAGGAAACTTCCTGAGGAACATGCAAGGTATTTCCTGACACAGGGCATGTGTTTTCTTCGGTTTTGGTGCTTTAATGGACTTGGATTCTTAAGTTTAGAATGTCCTGCCTGGGAAGAAATGTAAATTTTATCTTTTTGAAGAATGTGATTATTTTTAGAGAGCAAGCAGTCCATCAGCAGTAGAAGTTATTCCAATTTACTCCTCTTTATTGCTTCATATTTAGGTGATGCCTCTTTGGTCTGTTGATAGAACATGTAATATTCTATCTAATTTGCTCTGATGTTGAAATAATACCGTGCTGGTGGGAGAAGATTAAAACTCCAGTTTGCATGGCCCTGCACCACACAAAGGCTCACTGTCACTCTGAATTAGAGGAAAATAAAGATCTTCCATCTTGCTATGTGTAATCTTCAGAAAAAAAAAATCTGTAGAATAAAGAATAAATATTTTCTTAATTAGTAGAATGAAAAAAAAAATCTCATTTTTATTTAGGGAATGGTCTTACAAGAGGTCAGTGTTCTTATCAATAAATGTTGCTTGGGGTTTTTAGTGCTATTCATACATAAAAGTTGTAAGCTGTAAAATTATGTTTTTAAAAACAGACGTTTAAATTGCACCAGCTTTTGTTGTCATCTTAATGGTAATAAGAACTTTCTCCTTCTTAATTTCAGGTTTTATGCTGCTGAAATTTGTATTGCTCTAAACTTCCTGCATGAAAGAGGCATCATCTACAGAGATTTAAAACTGGACAATGTTCTCTTAGATGCAGAGGGTCATATCAAATTAACAGATTATGGCATGTGCAAGGTAGGATTTTCCTGACCTTTTTTCTGTGACTCTTAGGGAGCACTAAGAAAATTCATCTTTATATAAACACTAGTGTTACTGAGCCCAGAATTTAGTTGTGAAATTAGAAGTTTATTTTGAAAAAACTTAACTGTTGAATAGAACCACATTTGGAACTGAATTGTAATAGAAGTTTTGTTTCCCCAACATTTATTTGAAAGGGACTTCCAAATTGTTGAACTGATTTTTTTAAATGTATCTGTATCTGTAATTAGTGAACAAAATATTGTTACCTACATGTTGTAGCTCAGTAGTATTGTTACCTACATATAACTCATTTTTCATCAGCTTTGCTGAAGAGGAGCTGTGGAGTCCTAGGGCATTTTGAGCACTATGACTATTTATTTTGTGAAAGGAAGCTCTTTGAAGTCCCTGAGTAACTTGAGGTTTTAAGTCTAATTAAAGGAAATACCCAGAAAAGGAGGTCAGCTTTTAATTTATGAAATTATTTCTGCATGTAGGAAGGTTTGGGCCCAGGTGACACTACAAGCACTTTCTGTGGGACACCAAATTACATTGCACCAGAGATCCTCAGAGGAGAAGAATATGGTAAGTCATGACTAAACAACCTATAGTTACAAAAAATGCAGCTTGGTTCAATGCAATTAATTTTTTGACTCTACACTTTTTTTTAATGTTAATATGTAGTAAAACTTGAGTGGTTGTTTACAATTTAATTTTTATCCTGAAATAAAGTGGTTTTTTCTCTTCCAATCACTTATTTCAGCTTCTTTTAAGTCATACTTGGCCTGAAAAATATTTATTAAATGATTTTATAGGCTTCAGTGTGGACTGGTGGGCACTGGGAGTGCTGATGTTTGAGATGATGGCGGGGAGGTCCCCATTCGACATCATCACTGACAATCCAGACATGAACACTGAAGATTACCTCTTCCAAGGTACAGCCTTTGGGGTTTGGGTTGGGGGGGATACAATCAAAATGGGCAGTTTGCATAGCAGAGTTAGGGTTCCCTTTCCCAATATTGCCCCACAGCTGCTGGAGCTGGTCAGTTGTGAAGCTGCAAACTCCGTAACAGGCAAAACTTCTTTAGAGCAGTTCCTGCAGTTCTGTGACAGAATCTGTCAATGCTCTTCTTGAAGGGCCTGATATAAAATCATTTTCTGTTTAAAATCACAAAGTGTGGACTGAAATATACTGAGTACTGGAAGTTTTATTTCCTATTTATACAACAAATAATAGCAAAGGGTATTGAAGGTAACATGTCCCTTAGGAAATCTTCCAATGTCAATAGAACAATGCCTTGAATTCCTGTAGCTCCTTTTGTTTGCATGATTTTAAATAATTACTGTATCTTCCATTTTCTAACTGGTACCATACTGAAATAAGTGTTTGTATTGAAACTGGTCAGTGTCACGAACCAAAACCCAATATTGCTGTTTTTAAACCTGTCACAGTTATTCTGGAGAAGCCAATCCGGATTCCAAGGTTTCTTTCTGTCAAGGCTTCCCATGTGTTAAAAGGATTTTTAAACAAGGTAAATAACAGTCTCTTATTTTTAGCATCTGAAAGCTGGAAGTCAGAGCTTCCTGTTGAAAGTGATACAGTTAATCAGCTTACTATTAAGAAAATGTATAAAACCTTGGTGTCCTCTATGTTAAAAATCCCACTTAGCTGGAAATTTATTGAGGGAATTCCACAGCATGGGCTTGATTTTCATCTAGGTGCAGGCTTTTAAAAAATAACTGTAGCTTTGTTTATAAACTCTTTTCTGTAATATATATTACTCATTTAATTAAGCTGATTGGAATCTGAAGATCCATTATCATTAATGGAAAAAAGAAGGATATGAATTATACATTGCTAAAGAAATCTCTTATTTTAAGAAGCTGTAAAAGATCATTTAAAAATTAAGTTTCAAACAAATTTTATTTAAAAAAAAAAGAATTAAACATCCCTTGCTACCCATAGTGTGTTTATCCCAGCAGAGTTTACACAGTCTTGGGAATGCTGGAGTCATCTCTGTGGGCTTTTGGCAAATGTGGGCTGTAAGAGGCTTGGAGTGTGTAATTCCAGTGTCTGTTTTCCACAGGATCCCAAAGAAAGGCTTGGCTGTCAGCCCCAGACGGGATTTGCTGATATCAAGTCTCACACGTTTTTCCGCAGCATAGATTGGGATCTGGTAAAAATCAGTCCTTGTGTTTCTGGGTTTTCAAAAGGAATAATTCACTAATTTATTCATTTTGTGCATATGAACAACCCTGTTGCAAACAGGGAAAATGAATTCTAGGACTGTAAAAGTAGCAGTCACAGTACATCAAAACCCAGCTGAATTTACCAATTCTATGACTCCTAAAATCAGCAGGATTGTTCAGGTGGCTGTCCCAGGGTTTAGGGACCTGAGGGGGAGTGAGCAGGATCAGTCCCTTTTGTTAAGGATGTGACAGGAGAGTACTGGGCTTATTTTTAAAGGCGCTCTGATTACAGTTTGCAGGTTTTCTTCAGTAATGTTGGGGTGAGGGAGGTTTTTGGTTCATAGTGAAGAAGACGACTTGCTTTTTAGTGGGTTTGCAAGCATAAAATTGTATCAAAATTGGGTTTTTATATCTTCTGCTACTTGGCAATTGTGTTACCTTCTGTCTTAAGTGTGGAAACCATCCCAGAAATGCCATAGTAGCATTTATTGGCACTTGAGCAATAAATGCTGTAAAGTCTGGAGCACCTCCCTATCAGCATTACATTTTTAACAGGTGGTTAACAATTGAAAAGTGTGTCTCTGTAGTATTTCCATAGTCTGGAAAGGCTGCAGGAAGTGTAGGAAGAGGCAACACTAACATGAAAGTTCAGATGAGAGAAAGCTGCAGAGTTTCATTTTCCCTTTGAAGTTTCTGCTCTGAATTTCATTGTAACATTCTTCAGAGAACACACTCACTGCAGAAAGAGTCCCTGCTTTAAAAGACCTGGTGTTTACAAAATTATCCCTGTAATGAGGGCTGTCTTTGGTTTTGTCAGACATCCCTTGTTTGGAGTTATCCCTTCAACCTGAGTGGGGTTTTTTGGTGTTTGTTGGTTTTTTTGGTTATTTTATTGTTTTTTGGGGTTTTTTGTGTGGTTTTTTGGTGGTTTTTTTTCTTGTTTGTTTGTTTTTTGTTATTTTTTGTTTTGTTTTTTCTCTCTTGTGGTCCCCTGGTACAGCTCACCTGGGGGTGTGGAGCAGAACATAATGTCTTCCAGTTTGTTCTGCTTTGAAGTTTTTTGAGAGAGAGGGAAAATGACAGCTGTTAGATTTATATTTTGTTTATTTGTAGAAAAAAAAACTCTTCATCAAAATTGATACTTCTTGGCCAACATTTACGCTGACTGAATTCTTATATTTTCTAACGTTTTTTTATGGTGGAATGCTTCGATATTAAATCTCTACTTTTTAAAAAAATAGGAATATTTAGATGATCTGCTTCGTCATACTATTAAGAGAGTACTGCTCAGGAGGATCAACACCAGATAAATTTGAAGTTAAATTTCTAATAAGTTCTGGAAAATGTACTCAGGAAAAAATGAGAAAATACTTGGAAAGCTTTTTTAGTTATTAGAATCTCATACTCACCACCTGCATTTCAAAGAAAACATTTGGACTTAAAAGTTTTTCCGAATCTTTTCAAGTTGGAACCTAAGGAAATGAGTCTAACACTGATTTAAACTTGTTCCGTGTGAAGCTTGAGCTAAATGGAAAAATAAATACAGGGAAGGTGAGCACACAGCCCAGGAACATTTTTCCATGTGTTAGTCATCCAAAGTGTGTGGCAGAGCCCAGAACACTTCAGATTGCTCACTCTGGTGTAGGATGTCTCAGTAGCATCCAGGGCAGCTCATTTTTGGATTGTTTTGGGATTTTCAGTCTATTCTTACCTCAGTGCCTGTTTTCCGGTGTTTAATCATTATATGCTGGAGAAAGAGCTACAAAGCCATAGCTCCTGTTTGCAGTTAGGCATTTTCTAGAGCTGCACCACCTATTTTTTCACTCATTTTCTCAAGTTAAAACTCAGTTTTCTGAAGCCATCTCTCTGTGGCTGATTTAAGAGGGCTTTTACACTTTACTGAGTATAACAAAGAAGGAAGTCTGATGTTTAATCCCTTGTGGAATAGTGCCTGGCTGTTGGATGTGAGTGTGTGGCAACAACTCACAGGGACAGCCCTGCCACCCACTTCAGTTTTTGAATATTCATTTTGCTGATTCTTTCATGTTGCCATTCTTGTTTGGGAGGACCTGATTATTTTTTCCTCACAACTTGGATTTCATGGTGCTTTCCCAGACCTGATCATTGATGGGATGTTGATATGTTAATGCACCACCCTGTGACAGTTTCACAATTTCCTCCTATCTTCGTCTATACTTCCTGTGCTCTTGTCTGAAACATGAAATCCAAGATTTTTCTGTGATTTATTCCCCATTTTGTTTGCTCTGTACCAAGCATCATGAGAGATCCTGGCCTTAAAATCAGGTTTTTATCCAATGCTGGTAATACAAGTGATCATTTTGGTCAGTGGTAACTACTACTCACTCTCATCACACTTACCTATCCTAAATTAGATTATGGAGATTTGCAGCCTAGACAGTTTTTTAACTGAATATAAATGTTAGATTTAGAAAGGTAGTGTCTACTATAAATTGGATTATGTGACATTGCACACAAATGCAGGAAGAAAAGTAGGTTGATTTCTCAGGAACGAAAGTAAATATATTTTGCTAACTGCTGTATTGCAGTACTGTGGGAATTTATCAATCCTGAGTCTAATCTACCAATTTAGAGAGAACTTAAAAGGCTGAATTATTTGTGGATTTTTATTTTAAAATGCAGAGCAGTAACTGTACTGGTATCTGTTGCCTGGCTTGTCAGGTGTAGTACTTGGTATTTTTGATGTTCCTTTCCAATAGCATTTACAGCAGTTGGATTTGAGTTTCCTGAGGGATGCTGTAACTCTTCCACAGTGTAATTTTTTTCCTGTCCCCCATATTTTGGGTAGCTGGAGAAGAAGCAGATGACGCCCCCATTCCAGCCACAGATCACGGACGATTACGGGTTGGATAACTTTGACACGCAGTTCACCAGCGAGCCTGTGCAGCTCACCCCAGATGATGAGTACGTGCGGCTTTGCCCCAGAAATTAATTCATAAACTATCTGAAAATCACTAAGAGACTATGTGTTTGCCATTAAAACATAGTCACGTTACAGTAAATTTGAAATTCTTTGTATCTTGCATAACTTATTAGATGATAGAAGACTGCCCAGTGTTCTGATAAACTAATCACTGCTCTCATTTGTTTTTCAGAGATATAATAAAGCGAATAGATCAGTCAGAATTTGAAGGATTTGAATATATTAATCCATTGTTGCTGTCAACAGAAGAAACAGTATGAAGGAATGACCTTGTTGGGGACAGTGCGAATGACATTAATTTATCCTTAACTACAGTATATGCATGCGAGGCTGGGGACTGGTCACTTTGGATAGAGACCAATGATCTCAAAACAAATTTGCTGCTGAAAATCAAAGAAGAGAATAATGATTTTGGTGGGTGTCCTCTGCCACTTAGTGATTCTTACATTCTGGGCACTGACACAACTGGCTTCATTAATGAAGGAATTTGCATTTTGTGCCTGTTTCATGAAGGATTGAAATGTTCATTGCATCCCTGCAAAAGGAGATAATGAGAAACTTTGAGATCCACACACTTCCTACAAACATTTGATGCAATGAGCTCCCAGTTGAAGAGTATTGCAGTGTAACATCCTGAAGAATAAAATATATTATGGTGGTGTTGAAGCTTATTTTTGATGCCTTTTTTCACAAGTGGTACCTGTCTAAACATCTCAGATATATTTAAAAGGAGTTGTGTTTTATTAGCAATCAAAACATAAATTTGGGTACAAGATTTAAGTGCCTAAATGGATAAACTGCATTGAAGGATTATTGCATATTTGGGATATTTTTACACCTGGTAAGTTCTGCTTGTTAATATTAAGTAACATTTCCATGTGAAAGATACAGTTCACAGCTGCAGCCTGATGTTTAGTTGCATTTTTGTAGAATTTGGAATGCAGAGTGACTCAGTGAGATTCTTTCCAAATTAGAATTTACAGTATCAATTTCAGAATCTGTTCTCTTAAACTCCAAATTTACCAAAATGTAGAGATTGAAGAAAATTAAATTTGCACACAAAGGATTTCTAAACATTACTTAAGCAGTGCCTACACCTACAATAATATTGTGTTGTATATTAGATTTTTGAGAAGTATTTTTATCAACAATACAAATATTCAGATGTAGAGCAAAATCCTAGTAAAGCATAGCCTTAAAGTTTAAGTAGCAAATTTAGAATAACCGTAAGATGAAATCTACTTTCCTGATAAAGGACACCTCCTACTTACGATAAACTGTCTGCTTATGGTTGCTCAGTGTCCATTAATAACTAATCATTCTGCAGTAGAGAATAGGATATTTCAGCAAAATTATTTGCATCAAAGTAGTACAATTCTTTTCATGGAAGAAAAATTAATACCTAAGAAATTGGAAAAAGCAAAAGACAACTATGGAATCCCTTCTGGTGGGAACTGGGGGGTGCCAGGGGAGCCAGGGGCAGGGGAGGACTCAGGAGCTGGCAAAGCCATGCTGGGGGGCCAGAGCTGTGCTGAGCCCTCGGGGTTCAGCCCCGGGACAGCAGAGGCTCTGCTGCCTCAGGCTGGGCTGAGCTCCAGGGCTGGTTGGGAAGGGAAAACAGAAACCCCATGCTGTGGCATCTCACCTGATTGGGTGTAAAACACAGGATAAATTGTGACACTTTCACTTTCTTTACATTAACCTATGGTTTTCTCAGGGTACAGCATTGCATTAGGTGCTGAACATGACATCTTTGGGATTCACATCCAAGTCATGAGGTGCTAGGACCAGACTGCCAAAACATTGTTTGAAATATTCAATTAATCATTAACAATCTAGGTTTTGTATCCCCTCTTTAGCCACAATTATGCAGACCTGTGTTTGTTTAGTTCTATGAATCCCATTCAGGTTTCAGTTGTGGGTTTCTCTGTTGGACTGTAGCTTTTCATATTCAGCAAAATGTGTTTTAATCAGCACTAAATAATTTAACTAGTAAAAAGTACTTGCCTCAAATGCCTGGACTTTAGATACTTTCTTATCTACTAAAGGCAACTTTACCTTTTAAATGTAATCTGGCATTTTTTTAATTGCTCTTTTCCCCTTTTCCCTCTTATTTTATTTCCCCTGAATAATTTCCCGTTTAGTGTTTTCAGCTCCCCTGGTACTAAAGCTAATCAGTAGTGATCAGAGTGACTGCAGGCAGCTCATGAATGGAACTGTGACAGTTAAGCTGTCCTTTGACATACCAGGGCATGGAACTTTAAACTGGAAATACTAGAAATGTGGGTTGGGTTTTTTTTTTAACCTTTTTTTCTAGGTTTCAGAACATCTTGGGAGGGAGGGAAGGAAGAATAGAAAGACACATTTTGGTAATCAAACATTTTAAGGACTATTTGAGTTTTATTTAAGAATTTACAGTATTTACAATGTTGTTGTGTTGCCAAATAGTTTGCTGGGTACAAGTTTGGTTGCTCATGTGCAAGTGTTTGAATAATGTTCTGTTCATAACGAAGGGGAAATTTTTTATATAAAGTACTTGTTTTATAAATAAAAGAAAATGAAGGATGTAATTAAATGTGTGGTTTGGAAAAAAAATCCTAATATATTGCAAATGGTTCTGGTAATGATATATAGTTGTCTTATTTGAAATAGTAAATGAAAATTCTAGCTAATTTAATGATTGTAAAACAGTAAATATGTTCTTGTAGTTTTGTATTATTGATTAGTTGGGATCTTTGCTGATCAGTTTTAATTGTGCAGAAGATGGTATACTAATCCATAACAGCTGAGATCATTTATATTCTTGCACATCTATTAAAGACTTTAATGAAAAAGTTAATAGACTTATTATTTATCAGTGAACTGGGCTGTGTCCAACCACTGAAACAGACCCCACTGTAAATTAAATCTATAGGAACCTCCCTGTATTTTTATACTGTATTCTGTGTTTATTCTGTATACCATTAACAATGGTATTTCCATCATTATTCCTGTATCTGAATCCCAGCTTAGCTGCACGTTTTGAGGTCCAGGGCACAGGGAAATAAACCAGAGCAGGTTGGTGATCTCATCCCTTGGTTTGTGGTTACTGAGCTGTCACTAAATGTCATTTATTGTCATTCCCAGGCTTAGCAAGTGTTCTCCTGCTCCTCTTGAGAAGTGACCAAAAGAGCAGCTGAGCCTCCTGAGCCCCTCCCAGCCCCACCAGGCTGCTCCCTGCTTTCAGCCCTTGATGGTGGCTGGGGGGGCCATGTGGAACTGGTACAAAAATCTGCTCTTGGCTCACTGTGTTAAATCTCATTTTCCAGCTCAGCATTGTGACACTGGCAGAAGTGTTCCTTCTGCAGGCTAATTAGCTTATAGTCATATTAATCACCGGTTTAACACTGATACTAACTTAGAAACCTGCACTGTAAGGTTTTGAATTTAGCTGGGCTCCTTCAGAACCATAAAAACCTCACAACCTTTATGTTGTCTGGGCTATGTTTTCTCTTAAATAGCTATACTCCCAGGATCAATTGTACAATTACACTTTCCTATGTAGATATTAAAACAACAAAAAATGCCAAATTCAAATTACTTCTTAACTGAATTTATTTTCATAGATTATCTGTTAAAAAAAAAAAACAAAACAAAACAGTAAACTTTTGGGTTAGAGTAAGTAACAGTTGTTTTTTGCTCAGCTGCTTTCTTCTGTCCTGAGAGGTTCAGAACTCTGGTACATGAGACAAAGCTTGAGGGATTTCCACTAGTGCATTTTTTTCAGGAATACCAAGCCTGATTTCCCTGGGGGTCTCTGGGACATCCCAGAGCACTGCTTTCAGAACTAGAACTACTTCATGTGCATTTGGTAGGCTTTAAAATTAAAAAAAAAGAAGCAAATAGGCAGGTGGCATTTATCCTTCTTCTGAGTTACTGCTTGAAGTCAGAGTAAAGGATGTGCTTCCTTGACACATTTTTCCTTTTCCTTTGAGAAAGCTTCATCCTTGGCCTTGTTCCTTTGCTCTCCACTCTTCTGGATTTACCACATGACATCATCTGCACTTTCAGACAAGCACCTGGCAAGGTGGCCATCGATGTCCAGCTGAGAGAGTCTGCAAACACAGGAACAGTCACATCCTTGTTTTGATTGTTAGTTACTCTCTCCCAGAAGTGTTCTTGTACCTTAGAGGGGCAGTCACTCCTATGCCCAAATCCTCTACCAAAACCTCCCAGCCTTGCTGTTACTGCTGCTCTAACTGGAGCTGAGTAGCACAGACCTGAATATGGAGACCAGATGCATCTTAAGCCTGTCTGTCTAAGTCTCTGGACAGAATAACCAAAATTGTGTAGATATTAATGTAGCCATTCCTTTGTCTCCCTGTTCAGCCTCCCAACAACAGGGAAAGTGGCACCCAACAGAGCTTGCAGGGTTAGAGGACCTGTGCAAAAGCACATTTTCAGCAACTCCGACAGCCTAAGTACTATAAAATTTCGTTAACAGTTCTTACTGTAGGACAGGTACTCAACTTGTAAATGGGATTAAAGTAGGTAATTCTGACAGCTTACAGTAGCTTTGTCTGCTTTTGTTATTCTATATATCGAAGATGCATGCAGACCTTGCTGGGGCTCATTTATAGGAAAGTTATGGAAAAAAACCAAAACACAAACTTACCTTCCACTAAACTGCATCAGACACATTGGACAACTGTCAAGAGCTGAAGATGCTTCACTCTGGTTTTCCATCTTCTCCTCACGGCTCTCAGCCCCTGGAGTGCTCCCTAGCCGAGGCTTCTCAGCAGGCACCTCTGTGGCCTCCCCCACTGGAAGATCCCCCTGATGTGTTTGGATTTGAGTCTTTTCCTCACCCTTTTCTTTCCTGTCTGCCCTACTGTTCTGTACAGTCCCTGTGTGGTGCTGCTGAGGGCTCAGAGCTTCTGCAGGGCTTTGTACCAAGGCCAAGGGCTGTGCTGAGCTGCTGTGCCCAGGGAATTTACATGACTTAGGACTCACATCCAGCTCTGAAACACCTTTTGTGTCTGCCCCAGACACAGTTTTGGCTTGATCTGTACTAGTTCCCCTGCAGGTTTTCCCAGCTGTGGATGATTGGTCCTGTCCTTTATGTTCATTGCTCTGACTCTGTGTTGGCTGCTGAGAGCTCAGATCCTTGGGGTTCAGACATTTTTCTTTGTGAAAAGATGGGAATGATACCCACTGAATGTCTTTTATTCTGACTGTAAAGACTTCATGGTGTTCTGGACTCCTTTCCTGTTGTTCCTACAACACACACATACACACACACAATATCTAAAGCAAAGTGAGCTCAACCAATACCCAGGCTTTGGGAAGACATTGCAAATACTGAGAAATCTGAACTATAGGGAAGAAAAGAACATTTTATTTATGTCCCTCTTCCAGGAGTTTCCTGGAGCTGATGGAATATGGGTCTTCCCTTAACATTTCTAAATTGATGCAATGGGTACTCATGTTCCAGAGAGACTAAGGATGAAGACAACAACCTGCTACTGTTCAGGGGTGTACAGTCTTTTTTAGGACTGATTTTTATGTTGTGATCTTGCCTATTGCCACTGGAGTGATGTCAGGGTAGGTTCTGTGTAATTAACCCCTCCATTACAGTTTGCTTTTTCCAGTTTCATTCCTTAGGGAGATGCTGGTGTTTATGACAGTCAGCATCCTTACACAGGCTCCCTCTTCCCAACAAAATGTTGGAAAGAATTTGCTCTACTGCAAAAAAAGCTGCTTGTAGCTGTCCTTATATACCCTGCCACACCATGCCCAGCCACATCACTGCACACAGGTTTTATGCTGCTGTGGAGATTGAAGAGCTGAAACCTTACATCTCTAAAGGCTATTTCGGGTTGTTTCCCATTAATCAGGCTGTTGCTATTGTAAGCAGGACACAAAGTGCAAAAACAAGGATACAGCACACTACCTTTTCCAAGAACGCCGGAAAGTTGGGCATTGTGTCCCAGTTTGTGCAGTGCAAATCTTGACTGATGTGTTTCAGTAGCAAAAGCCAGGTTTTTTCACACTCATTTAAGTCTTCCTTTTCAAACCAGGAACATCTGTCAGTCAATGCCCTGTAAAGATACAGTCCAATAGTTTGAAGGTGGGAAAGAAAGAAAATACTCTTACACTGATACTAGTTTGCCTCTTTTTTCTGGAATCCAAAGGCATTACTGTGCCTGCAAACTATTTTTTGCAGCATTATATATGACTTAGGTAATTTTTACAGCTAGCAAAAATTTAATGTCTAAATGCTTTCTTTCTGCTTGTAACAAATGAGCAATAGGTATCTATCTCTTCACTTCCAAGTGAAACAGTTCAGTGCAGCCACTGTTTTATCTTCTCTAACACCACACTTAACACCTGCGAAGCACAGAAATCATGTAAGTGTTTGCACTGAGGGGTAGCAATTGCATCGGTTCGCAAGTACGTCTGGACATTCCCACACTGCCAATTGAAATTACTGATTATCTTCCCAAACAACTTGATTTAGTCGATCCTAGGAACTATAAGCATTAAAAGGTAATGCTGTATAAAGACAATTCCAAGGGAAGGATGGATTGTTAATGTCATAATGGTATTTCCATCATTCTTCCTGATGATTTTCTTGGGTTGCTGTCCAGGAATGAAGCTGCACGGGTAAGAAGTTAGAAACAACGTGCCCTCAAAGAACAGAGTGATCAACCTCTCACAGCCCATGGTGGAAGGGGCACGGCCGAGCCGCCCGAGCTCAAATACAAACTGAGCCACTCACTGCCTTCAGTCCTCCCGAATTCCAGGGCTGGAAAAAACAGGAAATATTTCTGCGCTCCTGTGAGCCGTATTCTGGAAGAAAACTGAGTTTTCATACATTAACGTTTCTCAGGCCCTGTCCTCGCCAGAGCTGTTCTGTGACGACGAACCTGCAGAAGGTGTGGGGCACGCTGTGCTTTACCTTGCAGTTTTATCTGTATCTGTAACGGCACTACGGGCGGTATTTTATGAAATAACCTTTAACAGACACAGATCTGACCGCGAAACGCCGCGAGTCGCCCGGGTGGTGCACCCTGGCCCCGGGAGCCGATCCAATCCTCCCGGGGCCGATTCGGTCCCCCAGGACCGATCCGATCCCCGGTCCCGACTCACTGGGTCCGCGGCGGGGGCTCAGGGCCGGGGCTGCAGTCCCGACCACGGGCGGACAGCGCCGTCCGGGGCTTCAGGCGCAGCTTGGCGGCTCCTTCCTCACACATGGCCGACGCTCCCCGCGCATCGCCGGGGAACGGCGCTGGCGACCGCGGGAGGGCGGGGTGAGAGGGCGGCCTGGGCTTCCTCCTCTTCCTCCGCCTCCTCCTGCCCCGGGCGCGTTGCCAGGGCTGTGACTTTCAGCCCTCAGAGCCGCCCTCATGTCGCGGGGCAGCGGGAACGGGCGAGTAGTTCTGACGACTCCTTGAGGGGAGCCCGCCGTTCTCAGCCCGTGCACCCGTCAGACTCCAGGGGCTGGTCTGCCTCGAAAACAGCCTTTCTTTTGTGTCGCTTTTACCTCTTAAACTTTATGTTTTTTGTAGGCTTTTGGTCCGTTGGGAAGGGCGGGGTCAGGGGCTGTGCTTGGTTGGTCCCCGTGGCTGAGGGGGACAAGATGGCGGCGGGTCGGGCCTGGCTGGTCCCGGCCTGGGTCTGGAGTTGGTGCGTGGGGCCAATTCCAGAGGCTGTTCTTTCAAAAATAAGATCGGTTGGGAGCACACCTCTGACCTAGTTTCACTTTTAGAGAAGAATCTGAAGTGATGCAGTTTGACGTTTTTGGCGGGAATGTCGCCGTGTGGCTTGAAATATAGAAGGTGCTAGAGAGGGTTTAAACACCCTCCGGGCTGCAGCCGTCTCAAAAACAGACACCACAGGAATGGTGACAAGCACTTCATCCTCCAACAGTACATGAAAGGATCAGAAAGTAACGTTTAAACTCTTCACAATTGATGCAAAAAATAACTATAAGGAAATAAATCCAGTTTGGTAACAGGTATTTATGAGGGAGCACCAGCACAGAGGACTCTGCTTAAAACCAATTTATTATTGGTAAAACCTGAATCCAAGTCCACATTCTTCTTCTGTTACTGCATTTATGCATTGCTGGATGTCTGTAGACTGCCCCATCCTTCGATTTTTCAGAGTAGAAAGGAGGCATCAGTATTGACTGTATTAGAAGTTACACCTGTGAATGAATGTGTTGGTCCCAGCAAAAATGTATCTAAGATGGCTGACAAGAATTTATATGTGCTTTGAGTGGATCCGAATCTTGAAAATGGGTTATCAGAGTTCAGAGATTCACATTTCACATTAATTTAAATCTGAGCAGGTCCAGGCAGCCCCATCCAGAGGTGCTTCAGCTGAGGATGATGCTGTCCAGGGATCTGGGAGGTCCTGCCCAGCCTTCACCCTTCATGTGTTAACTCAGGTACTTTGTGTTTCTGTGAGTCCATAATGCCTTTAACTGTATGCAATAACCATTCTTAACTTTAAAGCAGCATTAATAGGTTTCCTTCTGTGGATAAAAATCTTGGAAGTGCAAAGTGTTTGGTTGCTCCTGGGATCTGTGTCAGTTTACACAACAGATAGCCCAGCTGAAAAACAAAAACATAAAAAATTTTCACACTAGAGGGCCAGCATTTCAGCTGTGTGATGGGCAGAGTAAAACGAGAATGAAGTCCAGGGAGACAGCGGAAAAGCAAACCCCTGTCACACAGTTTAACGTTTTCCCGCATTAATATCTGTTACAGCTACTGCAGTGCCCAGGGAACACCCAAGGGACATTCACAGGGCTCTGCCTGTCACTTTTGTTGCCATTTAGAAGATGCTTCACAGTATGGTGAAAGGAGATCCCAGGAAATCGGCCCTCCTTTCCTTCTTTGTCGGGAAAGTGTTCCCCTAAAAGCTGCAGGTGGAGCAAGGTAAGAGGAATAGAGGCAAAGAGAGAATCTGGATCTAAAGGTTTTATGCTGCTGTGGAGAATAAGGTAGTGGTGGCAGCAGAGACAGAGCAAAGAACGGCAGGAGAAAGGGGGTGTAAATAAAGAAAAAGTGTGAATTGAAGAGGGATTTGGCTGTGGAAGTGGTGGGAAATGTTATGAGAGAGGAGGGGTAGAAATCTGATTTCACAACCAGCTGAAGAAGTGTTCCTTGGAGGATTTTATTCAGGATCACTGGGAATTGTGGCCCAGTGCCGACTGTCACCACATGGAGGCAGCAAACTGTGCAAAATCAGGGATTTAACAAAATCCGGGGGGCTGTGAAAGCACTCCGAACCTACTCCTGGGTGTATCTATGCTAATGATCAGTGATGCATCAGGGTTTCTTTAATTCCTGTGATGTTTGGGTTAGTGTTTTATGTTTTATGACCCCTTGGATACTCCTTGGACAATCCTCTGCTGCTAAATTGTGTGTTGTACCCATAGATTTATGCTGTTCGACACGACTTCTCCCAGAACAGCCTGTTCTTCATGCTGGAGGTGTTGCTGTGTGGTGCTGTGGGCACTTACAGCATTTGCAAAAGCTTTATTATGGAGGAACATAAAAATTGGTTATTGTGCAGTAAGTGCCACCAATTAAAGAATATAATAAAAAGAATAGGGAAATTTATTATTGCAGCTTTTGCTTGTAAAAAGCAAAAGGAGAAAATCTTGCTTCTGTAGTGTAGGTGGGTTTTAGATTTAACTGCAGATTTAACTGAAAATTCTAAGTTTTTTTTGATTGTTACCTGTTTAATGATACCCACTCTAATAATGTCATGAATGTTTTCATCTGTGCTCTATTTGCTTCTGTAACTACCTGCAGATTTCAATATCCATTAAGGGCATTTAGTATTTTTCATCTTCATCTTTTCAGAATTAATAATGTACTAAGAATAGGAAGGCAAAATGTAGAATAGGACCTGGTCTTGGACTTGCCCCTTTGCACAAGATAGTATCTTCTGTTTCCTCCACTGCATGGAAATCTTATTACTTCTTGCTTGATTTTGCATCTTGCTAATTTCAATAATTAGAATGTTTAGTGGTCTTAGAAAAAACTTCTCATAGAAATGCAGGGAGTAGTCTTTATCATAATCAGCCTTGACTGGATTTGAGCCAGTGGTCAAGGGATTTGAGCTTGTGGAAGCCAGAATGCTCCTACAGATTATCTGCAGGGATTTCCTTGTAAATGGAATGCCAGCATGTGTAGTTATCTCTTCCCTGTTAAGTCTCAAGCTACACATGCTTAATCTTTACTTATATGGTACCTGATTCTTGCTGTAAAGTGGGCCTCAGTTTTAACTTTTGCTCTCAGGAAGAAGGGGCTATTATAACAAATTCTAATCCATTTGCAGTTCCACAATCACTAAAGCCTATAAATTGCCTGCCAAACAAGCCAAGTGATCTTTTCCTGGGCTGAGGGAAAGAGGAGAGTGTAAAACACAGGTGCTGGCATTTGCTGGGGAAGAACTGGTACATTATCAACTAATCCGCCTTCTGCTATTTCTGATTTCCTCCCAACAGCTGCAGCTTTGAATGAGCGCTTCTGCATTTGGAAAGAATTAGAAAGCCTGGTAATGCAGGGTCTCTATTACAGATACAACAGCTCACAGACAGGGAGGAGATTTTTGCTGCTGTTGTAGAATTTTGAGTGTTAAGCATTTTATAGCCTGGAAAAATTGTAATTTTCAGCTGTTGTTATGGAGTAATCAATGAAGAAGAGATGCCACAGTTTCTGCTGGATTTCTCTCAAAGCCTGATGTCATTGCATGAAGGAGCTATTTTTTTTTTTAATGTGCCACTTTGAGGCAGAAGCACACACAGTTTTCGTTAAAACTTTTTTTCTTATGATGACTGATGCTCATTGATAGTTTTAGACCTTCTGAAATATCTTTGCTTCTGTAGTGATAACTCCTGTATCAGATAAAAATGTTCAGAAGAAATTGCTCCTTGCCAGACCATTGAAATATTATTACATTTAAATTATTTTATCTAATCAGTGCTTAGCTTGGGAGTACATGTTGAGAATTTTTTTGTCCTCATCAAATAGTCTGTGACTTCACTCAAGGATGAGTGTGGCCATTCTGCTAAATGTAATAAAGGACAATGTCCTCAAAGAGAGTACAGTGTGCAGAGCAGACCAGGGAAAGTTGCTGCAGCAAATGTCCCACAGCTGAAATGCTCCACTCTAATGTCACAACGTGTCCCCTGAACAGCCCAGTGGCAGCAAATGCAGCCCTGGAAAGGATAACTCAGCCAAACTGATGCGGTCAGCCCAGTTAATCACTGGCTATGGTGAAAATGGGAAAGTCTGACTCTTTTCATTAACGTGATATGTTACAGTTAAACCACAAAATGAGAACTGTGTAGGACTGGCTTAGTCAGGAGAATAAAGATGACGTGCATTTCAGTTTGAGAAGTGCAGGCTCATTGCTGCTTCCAGAGAAAGTCAGTTGAGTGGAGACAGTTTTGTGGGCTCTCCTTAATTTTAGTTGCAGGAGACATTCTCTTTCCTACAAAAGAAACCTTGCCTTTGAAACCTGCTCCTTCTGGTAGCACACCAGAGCTGAATTTGTCAGTGTGCAGCACCCAGTGCACGACTCACCTCTTCAATTCAGCCTTTCCAAGTGCAAGGACAGATCAGCCCCTGCGTGGCTGAAGATGGAAAACCCAGCCTTGTGACATTTATATGCCAAGATGGGAAGACCTAAAAAGAGGACATGGGAGACTAGCATGGCATTTGCCGGTACCAGGTTGCCAAGGAGGCATATTGTATTGAAACAGTTGCCTGGGAAACATTTAAAAATACATTGAATGGAAAAGCATATGTGATATGCCCACAAGTGTTCTGTGTGAATGAAATGCTATGGCTGATGATGGCACCAAGAGACTGTTACTATTACATGTAAAAATGCTGCAAATGATGTGTGTTTTTTTCCCTTTTGTGGTGTTTTCCTCCCCTGTTTGCAGGAGGTGCACCGAGGGAAAGCTGTTTTGCTCTTGGCTGATGGATTAAAGTGAATGTGGGGACGGTGGAACACACAGGCAGCAGCAGCAGCTGGGTATGGCAAGAGCAATTTGGCTTAATGTAGGCAACCTAAACCAATTGACAAAGAGCCTGCACAATTCCCCCTCAAAAGTAACAACAGCACTGCTCAAATACCCACAATATAAAGATAAATGGCTCTCTGATCATTGCCACTTTCATTGGTGCTACAAATGGGTATTGGGAAGCTCTGATATCATTCCAGT